CCTGTAGACACTCTGTCGCCACCACATTACAGTCAATTAAATCAACCAAATGAAATATGTCTAAATGCACTACAGTTATACATACCTTCAGTGATACACAATGTATTTTCCACCTCCTAGCAAAATCATACTTTTGTCCTTCAAGAAAACATTAAAACAAATTACAATTAAATTTGCCAAAGTCAACTTTGCTTAACTCGAATAATAAGTATATTACATATAATAATAATAATAATAATAATAATAATAATAATAATAATAAAATCTTATTTTACAAGCTAAATCGATCTGTAAGTCAAATTTTATCTTGAAGTCACACAATTTTTCAATTCCATTTTGGATTCGACTTGGGCAAGTTCAACTGTAATCACCTCACAAACAATGATTGGGCCTATCACTTGGATTGGAATTATTTTTTTGGGGCTAGACACACCAAAGAGGATAACCCATGAAAGATATATATCCAGTGGGATTTTGCACAAAAGTGTTTATCTGAGATAAAAGTCAGAAGTCTTATTTCACTTCTGGTTGTGGTGAACTGGCCGTAACAAGAAACAATCCTGTACTCTTTACTGAAGAGGGTAATGTGTTCCTCAACATTCACATAGGCCATTTTGCATTTTATCTGATATAACATGATGTGCCATAGAAACTTGCATTCTTAAAGTGAGACAACTTGAGACAAATTATTAAATATTTCAGACATATCATGAATATTACTGTACTTGCCGTCTTATCAAGTCACTTACCTTTTGGTGTACTCACAATAAGGTGAGTACATTCGTGAAGTTTCAGTTCACCTGTGTATCGCCCACCTGGAGGAGGAGAATTAAAGTTGATATAAATATTCTCAAACTCAGATAAGAACACTGAAAAGAATACGTACATTTACCATATCTTTAAGAGCAGTTTGGCACCGCCAATACACTACAACTTCTCAACATTAAGGCCAGGGTTCAATCTCTCGCTATGCATTTCGCTTGTGTCCTTAGGCAAGGCAATTTACCTACAGTTCTCCCTCTCCACCCAATAATAAAAGTGGGTAAAGGTAAAGGTAGGAGAATAACCCATAACTTGCAGCGTCATTGTGCTGAATTGTGTATGGGCGTGGTCCGTGACTACCTAGCTGCCGTAAAGAGGCGCTTTTTGGCAGATACATGTTCACATCATTCCACAACAACAGGGCTGAAATGAACCATAACATCGGGGTAACCCCCTACTCTTCCGAAAGATGTAATGGGTTCTTTAAAGTGCACAAGAGCCAGTTGTATACACTGGACCTCCATTTTAAGTCCTTATCCGAGAAGACTTGGTTCTACCAACCGAACCATGGGTGAGGAGCGGCTGGAACTAGCGCCGATGTTAAGGCTGTAACTAGCGGCGCCTCTGTCTTACCACTCGGCCACTGGACTCGCCTCAAACACATAGTAAAGTTTGCAATCATATAATCATAGCAATTACCTCTCCCTAAAATATGCTCAACTTTTATAATATCTCACATTTTCTCATTCTCATTGCCTTGAGACTATTTTTTGCATTAGGCACTTTATAAAAGTATTACTATTTTTATTTCATTTGTACCCTGTGAATTTCATTTGTACCCTGTTGTTACAATGACAATAAAGAATATCGTATCGTATCGTATTATTATTACTACTTACCATTCTCTTCTGTTAATCTCTTCACATCTTTTCTGTCCTGATGTTCTAGGCCTGTTACACAAATAATGCAGCCTTTGAAGATAGGACATTTGTGGCAGTGGAACTCCGGATCTGTTGCATCTACATGGCTACAAGTAGTAAAATTAGACTAATATGATTAGAATGCTATCATTAATTATTATTATTATTACCTCCTCTAAAGGAGGTTATGTATAATTGACCAAGTCTCTCTGTCTGTTAGCAAGATTATGCAAAACTAATGAATGGATCATCATAAAATGTAGTGGAATGGTATAATAATCAAAGAAAGAGATGATTAAATTTCAGGAAGAAAAGATCAAAGGACAACTGCTGTATTTCAAAACATTTTTCTTGCAAATAATAATTGTATTTCACGCTCTTTATAAACATCAGCTTCCGTGATGACCTCATACAGGTCAAACAACAACTGCTTTGCATCCAGAACATGCCAATGATCTCAGCTAACTCCGTGGCAATGTATTGTAATAGATCATCACGGTTACTGATCCATTATTCGGAGTTACTAACACAGTTTTCATGGCCAGTTAACACCAATATCATCAGATAAATGCCTTAACCAAAATGATCTTCTGCCGTGTAAACGTAATATTATTATTTATGATAACATTATTATAATTGTCAATATTACCATTGTTTTCCTGCCTTCCAAACTGCATACACCCATTCTGGCAATACTACACTTTTATTAAGACTTACTGCAACCTGATGCATAAAAAAGACAAAGAAGAATGTAGACTACTGCCTTGAATAATAACATTAACCAAAATCATAGCCTCCCCACGGTAAGATTTTTCTTTGAGAATGTTAAGTAGTACAGGGTAGTTTGAAACCAACCAGACCAGACCAAAATTTAGCTATCGAATAACAAACAATTTACTACAATAGCCTGACAACAATGTGAACAAATTTACAATTTCACCTAAACAAGAAATGGGAATTATGATGGTATTAAGCAAATTTACAAGTAAAAGTTTGAAACCAATTAGACTTAAAAAAAACTAGTTATCATGGTAACAACAATTTACTACTACAATAACACAACTACATGAAAAAATATTACAATTTCACCTAAATTACAAATTCTTATGGGAATTAAGATGGTATTAATCAAATTGATAAGTAAAAGTTTGAAACCAATTAGACTTAACAAACTTTAGTTATCATGGTAACAAACAATTTACTACAATAATACAACATGAACAAATATTACAATTTCACCTAAATTAGAAATTTTTATGGGAATTATGATGGTATTAAGCGAATTGATAAATAAAGGTTCAAAACCAATTAGACTTAACAAACTTTAGTTAATAAATAAATTCTGTCTTCTTACCATCTTGCATTCTGCACCAATCAGAAAACAATCAGACTTACCAAAATTTAGTTATCGTGGTAACTGCCTAAATTACCTGATTAGTGAAATATTAATTTTGCAAATGAGCAATTAGCATAGTCACACATGTACCAAAAAAAATAGGCTAAGGCTCAGTCTTCTTGCATTCTGCAAAGTTTAAAACCAGATAGACTTAACAAACTTTAGATATTGTGGTAACTAGCCTAAATTTCCGGAAAAGTGAAATATTAATTATGCAAATGAGCAATTAGCATATTCACACACATACCAAGAACAATAGGCTCTGTCACTTATTACCATCTTGCATTCTACAAAGTTTGAAATTAATCAGACTTACCAAACTTTAGTTATTGTCATAACAAACAAATAACCAACAATGACAGTAACAAGGACCACATGAAGAAAAACACAGGAAAAAATAATAGCCTCACCAGAGCTTTGCTCCTTTGGGGAGGCTAATAATTAATAAAAACAATAATAATAACGTAATAACAATAACAATATCACTATTAATAATAATGATACAAACTTTTATATCAGACAAAAGTCCATAATATAAACAAATACAACAAAAGAGGCAAGTGGACAAACAATAATACTGTTTTATAACTATTAACAACAAACTATACCAATAATGCGATATCTATACAGGGTGAGCTTTTCTTCATTTATAAAAAAAAAAGCAGGAAAACAAAACAAACAAAAGCATAAAATCATCAACTACATTGCAAAAAACAAGCTGAAATTGAAAGCCAGTTCATACACAAACAAGCAAAATCTGAAACTAATACTAGTGCAAGCAATTTAAGGCTTACTTTACTATCAGTTGCGTATCTAGGGCAGACATGCCAACCATACAAGGCCAGCAAGAGGAATCTGAAAAACTTCTGAGCGGAGCTTTGGCAATGTGAGAGGAGTATTCCTAAGACATGGTGCCATTGTGATCGGATTCTAAAATGTAACTGTTTGACACACAACAGCAATACCGCCTGGCAAGACTAGGCCATAGGCCTGGGCAGAAGATCAACACCACACCAATCACAACAAGCGTACCGTAGGCATCACCTGCAGTAGTTTTGATTTCAAACTGACAGGATATTTTCCATTATTATCTTGCATGTTTGCGTGTGTTTAAGCTTCTTTTTTGGAGGAAGCTCAACACTACTACTCGTTTTTCGGTACTGCCTAGGCCCACATCTATATCGCTCTCATCAGACTCCATTTTAGACTGTTGTTGTTAAGAAATCAGTAACCCATGGAGCACTATACAGTTCAGAGTGCAGTGCAACTCTAACATCAATTTGGCCAATGAAATTTGTTTTTTTGAAATCAGTAGACCGTGGAGCGTGAATTAATTTTTTGTATACAGTTCAGAGTGGAACTCTGACAGCAATTCAGTCGATGAAATTGGTTTTTTTCGAAATCAGTAGACCGTAGAGTGCGAATTACTATTTCGTATACAGTTCAGAGTGCTGTTTTCAGGATGAAATTAAGTGGTCTTGTTCTTATCTAAATCATAGGATTATCATTTTTCGGAAATGTGCGATTTATTTCAGCTGGCCAAAATGCGTAAAAAGCAGAGATTTTCGACCCAAATTGGAGTGCCGAGTTTTGCTTAAATAAACGGAATAACACCGCCGAAAACGGAGTGGTTGGCATATCACAGTGGTTGGTGACAGTCACTCCCTTCCATTGAAAATGTCTGTATCAAAAAAATTTGAGACCTAACGTCCCCTCACTTAATAATCAAGCACCAACTCCACCTTCTGAACCCTATACCCTCCCCATTTTAAGACTTCTAGATACACCACTGATTATGATACTAACTGTAATATATGCAGCTGAATGATTCAATATTAGATTAACAGTTATATTTTTGAAATAAAACTAATATAATTACATGATACTTCTTGGAACCAACTTCACCTGCCACCAGGTGGGTTACAACATCAGTGAAGTTTCGTGAAACCGTACCACCCATCCACTCAACATAGGTATGGATCTTCTCCTAAAAGCAAAAGATAATATAATTATTAACAAAAATTGCTAATTATATTTTCAATAATGCTCAAAATAATGTTAAAACAATGTATGTGTTAAAGCCAGTCTCCAAAAGAAATTTTTTTTAATATGCTGTACAACTGACTTTTTAATGACACAAAAAGCATATTTGATGAAAAACTCAGAAGTGGTTAATGAGATACAGACTTTTGAATATTTAAAAACTTGGGGAAAAAGTTTCAGAAAAGGGTGGTGCAACCATCCAGTTCCCCGAATCTGAGTTACAGGGGTTGGAACGTCTACAGAAGAACCCAATAAAAAATCTTCTGACTTTCATGGTTATCCTGGCACCGAAGAGATCCATTATTATAATTTCATAATATATTCAACACAACTTTACCCTTGCTTCCTTCTCAATGTTTGAACAGCTGACAACTATGTTCCTCATTGCTATTGAGTACACAGGATGATCTGTTTTGGGAATGGGCTGCCGGAGAGACAGGCAACTGAGAACACACTGTGGGCCCACAATTCTGGAAAGAACAATTGGATAAAAGGTTGGGAAACAATGACAAAATTTACTATTCGCACAATAGTAACAGTGTGATGAGGTTTTTTTTTATACTGTATCAAGTCCAGTTACACACTATCAAATTTTATTTGACAAAACTTGTGACATGCCTACATATAGTCATGGTGACATCACATCATAACCATACATGGCAACGACAAGTCAAACCAGTCACTTGTCACAAAAATCAATTTTTAGTCATTACTACATGGTTTATAGAGTAAAATGAGAGCTATAAAATGGGAAAAAATCATTAACATTTGACATTTCATTATGAAGTTACAGGAATGTAAACACACAACTGTTTAAATAACAATATTTGAGAAATCAGCCTTCAAAATTTATGATTTCAGGAATTTCTTGAGCAGAAACCATCACTAAATCGTTACAAATTCTTGTTTTAGCATTCAAAATGGAGAAAATAACAGTATAGCAGTATACATAGATCTATGTATAAAGGTCAGTATAGTTCAATAAAATAGATTAAAAAAATTTTGACATTCCAGCATGTTTTGGCCATTATCTCTGAAACAGGATTTGCGACGAGTGACTGGTTTGGCGAGTCTGTGCCACATATATGATATATGGGCGTACAATAGTTTTTTGTCAAAGAAAAAATTACACAAGTAATTAATGAATATTGCACTGGGAAGAATATTTTTATTTTTTAAAAGAGCTGAATAAAAATGGAAGAATCAATTGCTAACAAATGAAAATATTCTTTCCATTGCAAGAATACAAAACATTCAATATCTTTTTTACAAAACACACAAAAAAGTTAGGTACTACCTTTCCTCTGAATGGATCAGTCTATTTTTATCGACCAATTAAACATTATATTAGGTAAAGATGTGCAATGGGACAATACAAATGGGACAAAATTCATAAACATAATATTTTACCTGCAACCAAGTGTCTTAATGTGTTCAAATGCAGGCCCTTTGAATGGATCACAGACATACATACACTTGTCATTTTGAGTAAGCTGGAGGGCTTCTTCTTCTGTAATCCATTCTATAGTAAGTTTTGCTATCTCAACTTCCTGAAAAAAAAAAGATTATTAATATCTAAAATATTTCAATCCGACAGTGAATATTATAGTACGCCTTTACTGGAGAATCTTTTTAGGTTTACTCACTTATAAATTTGGGATAGATTGGTGCAATCAAGCTTACAACACCTTGCTATGTATTTTGCTTGTGTCTAATTTTTAGCATGGTAAATTACCAACATTTGTTTGTATTGACCAGTGGCAGATCCAGCAATTAGAAATAGAGGGGGCCTAGAGAGGGGATTTTATAGATGGAGGGTCCAAACTGCCTCAGCACCACCATGGTTGGAGCTGAGGTATTAAATTTTATTTGTCACTTCTAGATAGCTGGAAATCGTAGTCTCAAGACTTAAATTTGAATGTAATTTTCTTTTTCTCTCCCTGAATTCACCTATGACATGTGGATAATATAACATTATGTATTAAAGCTCAACTAGTACCCAGTAGAGAAAGTTGTTGCACGGTCAATCATGCAATAATACAATGTAATCACAGCTCCCCCATCTTGAGAGGACCTGTGCATCTTCAGTGCACTAGCTGGAGATGTAGAGCTGGGAACATGCAGATATAGTACTTGTGTCTCTGTAGTGCCAGAGTATATCTGGGACTAAGCCAATGTAAAAGGACTAGAAAGGTCTGGCAATGTTAAATGTGGTTGTTGCAATATTTTTCTTTTACTACTTATGAGATTTTGGTGGAGATATTGTTATAAAATCTTATTTCTATGTCACTTTCAGATAGTTGGAAATCATAGTCTCAGACTTAAATTTGAATGTTTATTTTCCTTTTAAAGTTGCTGAATGTTACATTCCCTGCTAAGTTCCCACTGGGCTAGGAAAAGGGAAGGGCGCTAGGATTACAGTGTCATTTGACCAACTGCACTATGCGTCCCAGATAAATGAAAGGCCAAATGTTGCTTTGTGTGTTCCTATAAAAAGAATTATTTTTTTACCCTACCTGATGTGTTATCGTATTGAAATACTTAGGAAAAAAATGTGCAAGTAATTTGGGTGGTAATCGAACATGACCTACCTCCAGATTCTACAGTAGGCCTGGTGTCAAAACCGCTAGATCACCGAGCTTGCGCTTGTGTTGAATTCGACTCCCAAGTAGCAATGCTATTTCAATGTGTGTTTGAATCAGAAAAATATTTCTGACGACTGTATAGGTCATAAAAATTCTGTCCTTCCCATAGAGATATAATAAGAATACTAGAGCGCTAACTGCAATGTATTCGATGTTCGAAATACGCAGAGCTATGTGTGTGAACCATCCAAGATGGCTGCCATAGATTCAGCCAATCAAATTTCGCCTAAGCACTATCATTTTCAATGGCGCCCTCAACTTACACAGAAAGTTCAGTACAGCTAGTTACCCGTATGTTTGAAAATCAAGCGTTGCGGTGTATTGGTATAATGTACACAATTTTTTTTTTTTTATTTTTTTTTTTAATAAGATGCTCTACTTGGCCTCTTTTTGGCTACGATACTTCAATAATTTGTTATTATCAATACTAATTATCATTAATGAAATAATAGTCAGTCAGAGGGCTTATTTATGGTAAAAATATGTATACTAAGCCTGAAGGTGGCGCTTTCCTACGACGGCCATCTTGGATGGTACACATACACAACTCTGCATTGCTTCGCCATCTTGTCAGCACTCTAGTTGTTTAATAGCTCTATGTCTTACCTTGGAGGCTCTCAGAAGGTTCTCATTCTGGGATGCCTGATTTCCTTCAACAAATCTTATGCTCATTTTTATTATGGAATTGAAAAACTTGCCAAAATTGTTAGTGACAGCTTCATTGATGACACTAAAACAATGAGTTTTCTCTGAAAAAAAAGGGAACATTATCATTATAATAAATGTAGAATAAAAATTGTTAGTTATATAACTTTTCGGTGCACGCAATTAAAAATTACCAGACTTCTTCTATCGCGTCTTCATATGTTTTTGCACATAGTTTTTTTTTGTACCAAAATGTCATTCGAATATATTTAAATAAACTAGAGGGTGTGCACGCTTACCCTGTAGTATGTGAACGTCGCAATTAGTTTCGATATACAGAACTTAAAATTAACATGATTTGTAACAGGTAGGCCTACAATATTTTGGTCAGAGGCAGCTAAAGCAACGTTTTACTGCTTACTAACAACATAAAACATGATCTTACCACTGCATTTCTGACATTACGTAAACTAAAGAAATAACTGGACAAGATAAAACTGATCACAACGTTCACATACTAGAGGGTAGCGAGTGCCCCCTGTAGTTATTTTAATGTCAACAATACCATCTGTTACCATCTTTCTATAATTTGATGTTGGTTGATATCTCATAGATGCGAATTGTCTTGTAATGTTTGTAGCCATTTACCTTCTCATTGTTCACCATTTAAATTTCAGCTTAGTGGGCATGCTCTGCTGCTGTGGAACACTTGTGAGTCGGGAATTGGTTTTTATGATGGATTTAACACTATAATATTATTTTCCACATTATTCGTGTACACTTGTGTAAATTTTTATTTAGCTTACGTTAGAAATTATTACACATTAAAAAAAAGTATAGTACTGTATGTCTATGCCTAGGCCTATGTAAATTGTTGTCATCTGTGCGCAGTTAGTTTTAGTCTGAGTTGTTGTATAGGCCGAGTTTTTTTTGGTCCGAGTTGTCGTCTGGGCTGATTTGGTTTTAGTCCTAGTTGGTTTGGGCCGAAATGACCTGCTACTGCCTAAGGCCTGGCTAGGCCTGCAGAAGAAGGCCCTCTAGGCTAGGGCCCTAGGTGTAGCTAGATGCAAAACCGATAGAGGACGCTATAGATCGGCAATACAAACATCTCAATAGAAAATAGTGCCTCGACGGAGATAGGATATCCAATGTATTAATTGGGTATTTCGCGGAAATATACCACAATTTGGCCGAATTACTTCCAGATAACTCTTTAGAAATGATTTCCAGACCAAGTTATGGGCTTTTTAAGCGCGCGATTCGATTTAGTAGAAGTTTTTTTGAGTACAACCAATGCTTCATCAATTTTCAATAATAGAAGGAAACCTTCGCTAGTTTTTTGATTACAGGTTTGTTTTCTTCAACTTTTAAACTTTAAGTTAAGTTAGTTTTAAATAATATTTGTGTAGCGATAAATTAAAATAGATGGCATAAAATATCATAATTCTATTGTCTTATTGCATACCGATGCTAGGCTGGGCTCGTACTAATAGAGGGCTTCCCCGTTAATTTTACGGCGGCTACATGTGGGGTAAACAATGTTTTCTCCGCTGGCTACCGTCTTGTCTGAGCTAGAGTTATGAGATTCAATGTAATATATTTTATGTAGAATCTATAAGTTGATAATTATGAAATCTACTGTAATATAAATATATACCAAATTATAATCATTAGTAATTGTCAAGTATTAATTTAGATGAATAATCAAATTTAAAAAGCTTCTTTTTTAAACTCATTTTATTTTTCTGAAATTAATAATAAAATTTATGTAGGCCTATTCTATGAAACAAATTGTAATACTGTAATCTCAATATTATATTATTGGGGGATACTACAAACATTTGAAGATCTAGGGGCAGCAAGCCAGGCAACAGGAGGTTCTGCATCAAAACAGCACATCTTGGATGCAATCTCAAACACATTGACAGACCGCTGTGGTGTAAACAAGGCTGTAAATAGGGAACAGTTCATTTTATGTCAGAAGGTAGCAAAGATCTAAAAGAATTTTTTTGTGGAATGCACCCCTTGGATACGTCTGCGTGACAAATCCATCTCAACATGGGAGCAAGAGATTCTGCCGACGGAACACAGAGCCATGTGTTTTTGACGTAGAAGTTTAAGTGGCGCTCAAAGTTTAATTACTGGCGTCTGCAAGTTTTGCTTCAACAACGCTGTTGGAGTGCCAGCTGAAATAGATGTATTTCTGAAGAGCAGGGGGATAAAAGTTACCGAAATCTTATCACCTGTGAGGGGTAACAGGTTCCATCTTATATTGTAATGCTGGAGCCGTTCACCTTCTATTGCCCCACATTGTGGAATTCCTGACCAAAGTGTGGCCGCCAACGAATAACTTGCAAAGAGCTGTGTTGGTTGATAGTAGGACGTCTGAATACACAACAGGATGCCAAGCTCTTGGCCATAGGTAAGTATGTGTCGGGTCCTTGGATGAGGCTGGAGGAAAGGAACCAAAACATTCTTGATTTAAATATGCCGTTTACGCTTGTTGTAAAAAAATGTAGGAGTGGAAGGTTAACGCATCCTTACTTGTAAGAGGCGAAGCGAAATGCTTGTTTGCCGATGTTCCAGTTTTCGACAACTTAACTACACCTCGTGAAAATGATAAGGAAGTTGAAACATTGTTGTCGAAACTTCTAGACGTTATTCTTGATGATCAGCTGCCTGGTGGCATACATCATGATCCAAGTGAAGCTTTACAACAGCAAGCCAGGTCATTGTGTAGGTAACAAGTTCAGTGGAGAACGAGTATTTGGGCTACTACTACTACTAGCTAGGAAAAGACCACTAGGCCTATGTCAGGAGGGCACCGAATGCAAGTTTAAGCTACATTGAGAGAAAAATTGTGTATAAATCAAACAAGACGTCAGATTGGTTGGCGAAGAAGTAAGTGTAGTGGAAGAACGAGAGGATCTACTGTCGAAGGCGAGACTACTGTGTTTTAAAAAGTAGGTACTGGCTATTGGCACTGCCGCAATGCCGATTTGGTACTGCGGCAGTGCCAAAAAAAGCTGCTGTTTTCTATCGGCACTGCCGCATTGCCAAAAAGTTGCTGTTTTCTATCGGCACTGCCACAG